ACATATATTTTTTTTGAATTAATCAGACTTTTTCCTGTCTAAAGTATATCCCATTGTTGAGAACCAACTTTTAGTGGCATCTTGTAAAAATTTGCTATAGCTTAGAGACGCTAATCCCACGAAACACCGCATGTTTTCTCAGTTACTAAAGCATCTCGTCAACTTGCTCATTCTATATTGGCTAATTATCTAATACATATTCTATAAGGCAACCTCTAGAGAATAGAAGAAGGAACATTTACCTTTTGTTTTATTTATTAGGAATCTCAAGTTCCTTGAAAATTAACTTGTGAACTAAAAGGTTTCCATGGCAGTTATGCTGTCTTGTAGCGTACTGTTTCTGTTAGTTATAATGACTTGTCTGAATATTTTTTGCCATAGAAGGCTTAAATAGAAGATGGGTCCAAGCAACGTCTATTTCAGTTAAGTTCAAGCCAGCTGCCTATTGTGCAATTGATGGAGTCTACTTTGTGCAAGAAAGACCATGTCGTTTTTCGTTTATAATTACATTTAAAGACTACCAGTATATCATATATATGAGATGAATTCATCCTATTTCGTTTAGGGTGCTAATTGAATTTTGCCCGCAATCATGTGAGTAAACATTAAGGTTCCATTTAATTTTTACACATGTTAAGAATAGTTGGGTTTAGAAGAATCTCTTATTTCATAATTGCTGAGCTTACTTCCATTTCGAGTGAAAGGTTTTGGTGAAGAGATTCGAATGTCAATCTTACCAGAAGACGACGGCGGATTCCGATTGACCAGTTGTCGATTGACGTCATGGAGACATTCTTGTTGACGCTGTTTCTGAGGCAATCTCCTTATATTCCAGTAAAAACGCGCTAAGCTACGTGTATCGTATGATGAACATCATCAGATCAGTATATCATCCTTACAACCATATTCCAGCTAAGAAGTCAATAAAATCCATCGGCTCATCCTCAAATACTGTATGCATATATATATATATATATCCTGCAGCTAAGTTCATATCAATATGAGGAGATTCAACTACCAGTCTTTTTATCACCCCAAACGAAATAGGATGAATACATCTCATATATATGATCTAGCGATATTCTCGAAAACCCACTTATCAAGTAGCGTCCATTAGTAGCAAAAAATTAATAGCTACAAAATGTCCATTCATTTTTGCCATAAAATACAGAATTGTGATAATTGAGGGGAATTGAATGTATCATTAGCTACGGTAGCAAATCATCTATCTGACATATTTCAACTATATATAAAAAGTGGGTTAGGCATGCTCCTATGTTTTGGTGGAGTATTTCAGGTTATTACTGACTTTTCCGCCTTACTTTCGTCATTACACACATACGCACCCACTGGATGGTTGTCGCTTTTTAAAAACAGTTTTCTTCCCTTTCTTTGACGTGAATTGCTCATATTTTGCACGATTTATGTTTAACCCTGCTCTATTGCAATTGTATTCACCCTCACTCGCATGGGCCCTTTCGGATGTCCTATGTTCATAACCAGACGCCCGTGGAGAAGGAAAGAGAGGAGTATAATGCCTATTTGAAGAAGATGCGTGGCATCGAAGATGAGATCGCCACATGTCAAGGCAAGCAACCAACGCTTGAAAAGGAATATGCAGTAAGTTGATTTCGTATACAGAATGCTCTTCAGTTATTCTTTATATTCTTGCATAGTTACTAGTCTTTGAAGAGCAAATTAAGTTGGTTTATTTATACTTTACCCTTTCATTATTCTATTAATTTGTATGAAAATGTGACTGGAAAGGATATTCAAATTGGCCTAACTGGAGGCAGAAGAGCGATTGTCTCATAGCTGTGCGAACTAATTTGTGCTCCAAGGATGTCCTTGCACAAATTAACTGTCCAAATTGCAAAACAATACCTTTTTCAGTTTCACATCCTTCAGAGATTTGGTAATTATCATCTCTACCATAGCTTTTTGAAGAGTCCAAAGCCTTTGAAGTTATCAGACTGCTTATTTTTTGTGAGCAACTGGTTTCTTATTGGCTTGATAATGAGTTTCCTCAAGATAAAGTAAATTCCAATCATTGAATTTACATCTGCATGAGCTACAAAAGCAATTTTACTCAATTCCATACTCATTTCGTCATATGCATTATTTTCAAGTTAATTTAATTCTTTACCATGTTTTCACCATCTGCCATTTACAAATCTCATATTCTCTCTCTCCTACTCCTTGCGCTTCATAAGCATTTGTCTCATTCTTTTGCTTTTGCTCATATTTTGCTTTTTACTCTATTTTTTCTTCTCCAATTTGGTTTAATTTCCTTCAAGCCATACCAAATTTGTTAACCTTGTCACAATCAGCCTTTTGAGGCTGGTAAAAACAAAGCTATTAGATGCAGTCAAATCAGTAGTCTATCTAGTTTAATGGCAAATATGTGGTCTCC